CCAATGCGTGTTGGCGAACTTCACGTTTTTTGAAATGTTTATTTTATTTCTCAGACATGCAGGTTTCCTCACGATGCTTTCCTTCATCTTCGAGTACGTGGTAAATCAGCACTTGAAATTGCAATTAACAATTTCATTGGTGCCGGCGGGGATCGAACCCGGGTTACTCGCGTACTGTGAAATTTACAGCGAGCGCTAACCATCTGAGCTACCACGGCTCATTAATAATTACTAAGAACTATAACCTAACATTGTCATACCTTTATAATTTAATTTGTTTAGTAAATATACTAAATTATAAACTGTGTAAATCATTTTTAAGCAATAAGCATCGATATATCGCTTATGTTTTCGATATATAAAACTCCGATATTGATATATTTATAATTATCGATATATTGAAAATTCGATATTTTAAAAATATCAACAGCCCTAGTTTGAACTGATCAGTTGGAATGATCAGTTGAACTGATCGTGTGTGTCGAATTTGTTTTGGATTAAATCCGTTTGAGATGATCAGTTGAACCGATGTCAGTTTAACTGACCGTGTGTGGGGACCATAAGGGTGACAAACGAGCACACAGTTTATCTGATGGTAAGTAGATGCTGTGGCCTATAGACATCTACATCTATCGGCGATTAAGAATCAAAATGCAGATGCGTTCTCACTCCTGAGGACTGAGATAGAATGTCCCGTTTCCAGTAAAAATGGTCTCCGGTTTCTCTATACTCACCATACGAAACAAAGCAGCATTAAGTTGCTATTATATGCAAGTATTCTGTTAGAGTTTGGTCCCCGGTCGAGCCAATCCATTCATGCTACAACCATTATATAACAGCAGCGTGGCTCCACCATGTGTAAAACGTATAGTGTGTGATATGTATTAAGAACTCAATTACTAGCAATAAGGCATTCTATTATCGTATAATGTTTCTTTACATCGTCACGATCGCATTTATTTGTAAAAGCTACATAATTATGCAAATTTATTATTACGAGTAAACTAAATAAATTCAATACCCAAATTAGCTACAATGGCTGACACTTCTTAGGGTTGTTTTATGACTTAAATAATAATATAAGACTTCAAAAAAAAACCCAAAACAACACACATTGATTTTACCCTGGTGATTCAAATCAGGATATTAGGATAAAGTTATTAAATTATTGTAATGTTATCGATCCTCGATAAAGTGCATATTTTCGAGTCGATAGTTCGACTACAAGTTGATGAAAGTTACATTTAAACGTCCCATTACATAGATAGATACATAAATAGATAGATAGTATTTTTTTATAGAATTGCTGTATTTATATATTGCAAGTGGTTGCTGTGGCCCATAGACATTTGAATCTATCTTTGTTTGCGAATTAAAATGCAGATGCGTTGTCAGCCGCGAGGACTAAGATAGAATGCCTCTTTTCCAGTAAAAAGGGTCTCCGGTTCTCTACCTTACGTTCACCATACGAAACACAGCAGCATTAAGCTGCTATTTTACGCTGGAAGTTACATACGAGGTAAAATAAAGCGTGTTAAAAACAAACATAAACCTCTATTTTTCTTTTTTTATAGCTATTTAACGTCAATTTTTTTATGTAAGTAAGTTAGAACATATAGTTATTCTATTTCACGATGAAGTTTTGACTTTGGTCGTTGTTAGGTGTGCCTGTTTGTCACGCATAATCAATATAAAAATTTAGGTAAGGCGAATCATCGGTGCTTCCAGTGCTATAACACTGTGACAAAAGTCAAAGCACCTTAACTACAAAAGTTAAACTAAATTAAACGATGGTATTCTTATATGTGTAGAAAAATTATCCCTCCTAAAAGGAATATACAGAAGATATAACTAAAATATTGGTAAATCCAATTGTGCATGCCTTGAGCGCATTAAAAAAATTACATATAACTTGATTATGGCTAATTTTTTTAAAAAGTTTAAATGCACACAAGTTTTCACTAATAACTTTATCACTATACTTCCAATTTTCTGATAATTTTATGTCAAACTTCAATTAAAAAGGTTTGGAAAATTCAAACGTGCACGACTCATAATTCTCATATGCTAGTGAAAAATTACAAAACAAAATGTAAACTCTTATACGTCCAAGAGTTCCAGTAGCATTCACCGAAGTACACCTTCAGGTTACTCTATCAAGTTCGCAGGTAAGGTCTCATCATAACTAACAAAACGAGGCTAAACTCGGCATACCTAGTTCTACTCTTCGAGGAGTTCTATTAGCATACACCGATGTGTAACTTCAGGTCACTCTAACAAGCCAGAGGTAAGGTCTCATCATAACTAACAAAAGTCGGCCAAACTCGGCATACCTAGTTCTACTCTTCGAGGTGTTCCAGTAGCATTCACCGAAGTAAACCATCAGGTCAATCTGTCAAGTCCGGAAGTAAAGTCTCATCATAACTAACAACACAAGGCCAAACTCGGCACACCTAGTTCAACTCTTCGAGGAGTTCCAGTAGCCTTCACTGAAGTACACCTTCAGGTCACCCTATCAAGCCCGAAGGTAAGGTCTCATCATAACTAACATAACGAGCACAATCTCGGCACACCCAGTTCTACTCGTCGAGGAGTTCAGATCTCCAAAAAGTCCAAGACGTGTAAGTATATTTATATGTATATAAATCCTGCGTACTTTTAGCGAAACAAAATATTGTAATAAAAAATATGTGAGTATAAAAATAATAATAATATCTTACCTTTGTCCAGTATATAATGATGATCTCCTATGCTGATGATACAGTTCTATTAATTTCAGCCATTTCCTGGCAGAAAGTTTTTGATGCTGCGCAGGATGCTTTTGACAGTGTCTCTAGATGGCTGGGTGAAAATCTTTTGACACTAAATCCTAATAAAACAAAATACATTCCTTTTTCTATTCGGAAATTGAAAGGACTTGGAGATAAATTTCATCTTGTGGCTCACAGTTGCAATTTTGTAGATAAACATAAATGTTCCTATGTTCCTGTCCTAAATTAGAGCGTACTAATGAAATAAAATACTTAGGGGTAATAGTAGATTGTCAGTTAAATTTTAAAACGCATATTGAATTATTAAGCAAAAGAGTACGGAAATTAATAATAATATTTAAAACACTTAGACATACTGCAGATTATAAACTCATAAAGCAAATTTACTTTGCACTCTGCCAATCACTGATATCGTACTGCATTACTTCTTGGGGAGGAGCGCCAGCTTCTACTATTAAGTGCTTAGAAATTGCCCAGCGTGCAGTACTCAAAGTAAGCACTTTTCGACCTTTCTTATTCCCAACCAAACTTCTCTTTGAAAATTGTGAAGTCCTTACCGTCAGACAACTGTTTATCTTAGGTATAATCTTGAAACAACACAGTGAAGTGATTTTTGATCCTCAAAAATGTATAAACTCCAGAATAGTCAGACCTTGTGAACTAAAACAGTTTCATACTTCATTTGTTCGGAGATTTTACTGTGCTTTAGGTCCTTTTGTGTATAACAAAGTTAATAAAATTATTCCAGTTTACTCCCTACATATAAAGCAATGCAAAAAGAAAATAACATCTTGGTTACTGACTCTAGGATATGATGAAACGGAAGATCTCTTGACAGTGCAGAGCTAAGTTATTATGGACAGTGCTCGAATCTCTATTGTTAGGTAACTTAAGGTATTCATTAAACTGTATTCTTCACCTTGTACACACCCTCTTACACGCGCTAACACATACACACACACACACACACACACACACACACACACACACACACACACACACACACACACACACACACACACACACACACACACACACACACACACACACACACACCACACTCACACTCTCACACATCCACACACACACGTACACTAGCACCATATACAAAAGAGGTACATTTTACATATATAAATATATTTTTAATTTCAATTTTTACTTTTTGTTTTATACCACATCTGTAATATAAAGAACAAAGTTTTGTAAATTTTCTATAATTTAAATAAATAATTTATGTTTATAATGTCTGGGGAGTGGCGCCATATGCTGAAATACAGGTTTTGGCCTAGTTCGGCAATGGATGCTATTTTTCATGTTATAAGATGAAATATTCCTATGTAGTTTATAAATAGACATATTGTTAACTGATATATATATATGGAAAATATGGAAATAAAGATTATTATTATTATAGTATATATCAAATTAGGTTTTTGGAATATTTTGTATTTCTAAAGCGATCACTATTTCTCAACACCGATGTAAACAAACGACCACTCACGACGGCGGCAGAGCACGGAGTAAAAAATATTCTGTGGCCTGGAGTGAGGCAGTGTATTTAGTAAAATAAATTAATACAATTACTCAGCTGAAAAAAATTTATTATAACGAAACAAAACAAAATTAAGATGCCATTTAGATTCCGTGGCTTCCCACATGATAGATGAAGAGTTTAAAAATAGATTGAGTTGAACAATTAATATTTTTAAAAGTTACCCTGTTTACGCCTCCATGCGACCTTGATGAATCTATACTTTATGCCACTAAAACCGCTATTTTATGTAAAACTAGCAATTGATCGATTTAAAAAAAAATTCAACAACCATTTACCTTTCTGACAATATGCGTTTTTATCATTTATATGTTCAATATGATTGTTAGATACGATTTCATGCGACTAAACGTTGGAATCTTGATTTTTAGGCGCTAGAAAAATAAACCTACGCACTGTGCGCTTAAGGAAAGCAAAAGGGCAAACAAGGTACACATATTCAGAGGGACCTCGAAGACAAAGCAGTAAACGGAAATGTACTATGAAAAACGTAAAAATATGTGAGTTAAAAAGTTAAATGAACTCTAATTTTTTCCAATTTGAGGGACAGCCTGTGACCAGTAGTGCACTTATTTTAAATGCACCTAAATGACATCCCTACAAAACAGTATTGTCATTCTACATAATGCTTATTGTTTTTCTATCATATATAAACTCTGAAGCGGGAAAATTGCCATGTTACAAATTTGTCATATTACGATCTTTTCATATAAGATGGCCTGTAACAAGTCACTTTATATACTGTTGGCTCTGGTAAGGTGTTCATTATAATATTTTATTTTTCTAGTTTGATAAAATAAAAAATCCACGCTATCAGCTATGAATGTACTCGCTAATTACACAGGCACAGGACGCGACAGATTCGAAAAGATACTTTGCTTAGAATCTGATATTTGATGGCGACGTAAGAAAAGCTATCCCCCAGAACCACCAGACCGACAATGGTAAACAGTGTTAAATATGCTAAAACTCAGTTACGGATCGCCTAAGCAAGGCGACTATGAGAAATCATCCTTTTAAATAAAACTAGTTTTTTACGGATTTTATAGCGTATATTAAGTTATTTTATATTCCAGACGTTTCGAGTACTTTATAACACCCATAGTCACGGGTGGTGTATAAAATTATTAATATACACGACAATTTTGTCGTGTATATTAATAATTTTATACGCGTAAAAAAAACTAGTTTAATTTAAGGAAACATTTGCCATAATCGTCACGCTACATAAGAAATTATTAAATTCTCCTTAGTTAAGGAGAACGAATGTTCAAAAATACATTGCAAAAATGTATCTGTATTTGGAGTAACTAAATGTAACAATGAAACAATAGGTTTAACAGCACTGATAAATTATCCTTTTGTTACAGACAGCCTTAAATTTAATCACTGCACAAGAAGATTCTGGTGCTAACACTAATTCAGATTCTCCAAGCAGACACGAAACTCCTCAAGAGGAAATACGTCCTTCGTTCGGATTTGGTTTTAGACGACACGAATATTCTGAACATCATAGAAATTTTAATAACGACCCTGGAAATCAAGATCCACTCAGGAATATTGTAAGGTGTAATCACACAATCACCGTAAGTGACAAAATGTAACTTATACTATAAAAAATTATAACTGCACAATTTAAATAAATGAATCGCAAACGTCACAATAATCCAATTTAAACTACAAATATGTTATCGACTTACAGCCTGGAAGAATTTGTATTAGTTGCGATGTTACCTTAATTTGCTCACGAATTGATCTTGGTATTATCTCAACATGCAAAGGACGCAGGCCCCACTGCAATCAAGGTGTTTGTTCTACAACACCAAGCGAGGATTGCATCTCTACATCTATCGAATAAAAGATATATTAACCGGCAACATCAGTAAGTATTAACAAAATCTGACAAACGAAAACACAAAGCAGGACACACAAAGCATATTCCATGAATGGAAACGCTTAAAGCCGTTGAGACAATTTACGCGTCATCACGTCGCTTCTCCAATACCTTGCCTTAGTTCTAGTAGAACTAACTATTCCAATCATTTGGAATAGTTAGGTATACTAATAATTGAGATCGCCCTATGGTGAACACATACAAGAATCCTTCCCAGTTCTTTAAGGTACCATTCCGTAGCCGACCGCAGATAGCAGCAGCAGGCGACGTGTCGTCGCGACACTACTGGTTTCTATGTAGTTCTATGAAATACATACCTTCCGTAGTTAGCGACACATCGTTTGCCGGAGCGGTAGACATGTCGCCCGACCGCAGATCAGTAGTGCCGCCACGCCCGAGCGACACATTAAATTTTTCTCAAAAAATGAGTTTCACCGGAAGAGAAACTGATAAACCAGGAGGCCCAATATCCCGCACTGTACGATGCATCTCACAATAATTATTTAAACAGTGTGACAAAAGATAATACTTGAAATAATTTAAAAATAAAAATTTTGTACAGCCGACTTCAATTTAAGTTATTAAGAATAACTCAAAAACTATTAGTCAGACCTTGATCAAATTCATATGGAACCACACGAGAAATAACAGCTTTCAAATAAAAAAAGAATCATCGAAATCGGTTCACCCAGTAAAAAGTTATGAGGTAACAAACATTAAAAAAACATACAGTCGAATTAAGTACCGTCTCCATTTTGGAAGTCGGCAGAAAATATAGGAAAGGAGTTAAATAAAAGCCGTTAATAGGTATATGTATATAGTACCTATTTCGTTTACATAAATAGAGTACCCACAGAACATTCGGAACAGATTGTAGCTGCTGCCTGCAGTCGGCTACGAAGTCATGACTGCAGCGACATGTCGCGACGACACGTCGCCTGCTGTTGCTCTCTGCGGTCGGCTACGGAATTGTACCTTAAAGCGGGTATAATAAGTGGCGACTCAGGTCAATTCTCGCTATCGGTAAACTTATATAGTATTTATACCAGATGCAAAACAAGATCCGTGCCTGGAAACAAAGTCAAAAATACGAGACCTCTGCTGCAGTGGACGCCAATCGGTCTGTCAAGCGTGACGATTACCAATTCTAACCTAGGATGCTCTGGACTCGAGTATTTCTTCGTTGCGTTCTATTTCTATCCATATAATAATTAATGAACATTTTTTTTAATACAATTAGTCTCCTAATAAGTAAATAACCAAACAATTTTAACCTTATTGACTAAAATATAATTCACAAACTTTTTTATATATTTTTCAGATTTATCGTTGTGACTACTGCGCGTTATTTAACGAATTAAATATAATTTTATTTATCAATAAATAGATATAAAAGTTAAAGTTTTTATTTAATAATTCCTAATATTTACATGAGTACTACACGTGAAAATAAATTAATATTTAATGATTCTATCGCATTTTTTAACTTTCATTTCGGGTGTTACTGAAAATGTCTTGTCGGAAAAACCAAATAATTGAGTTTGACCCGACTCGGGGTTCAAATCTCCCATCGTCACGACCACTAGATCAAAGAGGCAGTTCTTTAAAATAGATCAGGTTCGAATCGTAACAACTATTTGTATGATCAACAGTTAGTGGGATAGTTCCGGGCTTAGGATTTTTGCATGTGCAATTAATGTATGCAAAACGAATTCACGATACAAAAGAAATGGTGGCGTGAGTTTTTATAGATAAGATTTAACAAATAACTCGGTCTGCTCTAGTTAAATTAAGTTATAACACAATATGAAATCGAAGGCTCGGTCGTGTAATGATTAAGCGTTTGGCTGCGGCTCTGAGATTCGCTAAGGGAAAAATATGGGATGAAAGCTATTATAAAATTGTAAATTATTTTGATGCAGTTTTCAATCATTATATTTTTCTTAATTATACATCAAAACACATTAAAACAAAAACAAAATTAAAAAAATGCGTGAGTGTCGTGGAATACTCAGTTGGAACAAACTTCGTTCGAGGGAAATGAATATTATTCCATCCCGCTCGCGGGAAAAACCTTATGGCTCCAGTACACGTTGGCCGAGCGCGCTTGGCGAGCGCGCTCGGCCAACGTGTACTAGGCCGTTTTGTATATATTTGGCGTTTGCGGCCAACACTCGCCGACGAGCCTTATAGTGTCGGTTTTCCGTACAAAAATCAAAGAAATTTGGCGCAAGCCGCTAATAGCGATCACACGTTGGCCGAGTGTTCAGTTCATAGTTACGCGTCGGAGTAGGCTGTAGTGTCGACTTAATAAAATTATTTCACGAACATGGCGACATGTACTAATGAAGAAACATTTAGGTTCATTGATTCTTATCACAGTGAATCAATTATATGGAACCCCAAACATGAGCAACATAAAAATAAAACCAGAGTAACAACTTGCCTAACTGCATTAAATAATACACGTATAGTTGCGCTTTCACAGTACTACCTAAATATTATTATAAATTATCTCTGAGTTTATGTTGCTCAGGGATAATGCAGCTTAGGGGCTTCTTCTAGGCTATCTTTTATTTTGAAAAAAAACCCCAGCGAAGCGGGCACGGGTCAGCTAGTAGATCCTATAAGGGTTTCTTTTTAAATTTTGAGGTCGGAATCCTAAAAAGGACAAACTTGGATTATGGTTGTATATGTAGTTTTTTTTTCGTTCACTCTGAGGAAAGTGATGTCTAAGTATATTACAGCGGCCGCGATCACCCTAACGTCCATCATCATCTAGCTACCAACGCAGAATGAAACAGGTTAACAGGCCAACGTGTGAACGGCACCACGAAAATCAGCCGAGCGCGCTCGCCTAGCGCGCTCTGCCAACGTGTACTGGAGCCATTACACATTTCTCGCCTAGCCCTTATACGTCAAATTTGTATCACGCGATAAGGAACTCCGTTCCAATAAATAAAGAAGCTAAAATAGGTGGTCTTATCGTTTTGAAAGCGATATCTTCCAAACAAATTAATTTCTCAAAGAATTCGGCATTGACGCTGCAAAGGGGCGTATCTCAATTTTTCAAAAAATTACCGGAGAGCAAGAAAACATTTGTTATTCCCCGACTACTAGTTTTTTCTCATCCGAAAATTAGATTTGTTAGTGGAAAACTACAAATATGATTAATTTATTGACTAAGAGGGAGTTGTTCATAAATTACACAATAAATAAAAAAACGCAGTTCATTATATGATTAATAAATTGTATAGTAAAGATATCACCGTGTAGTGGCGGGTAAGAATACCCACTACCCCATAACTTTACCACCGGTACCACCGCAAGTATCACCGGAATGGTGACCATCTGTCCCTGTTGTCAGATTTATCGTCCACAAGTCTCTCGTTAACAACGTTGTAAAGATTGAAAGTGTGTCGACGAGGGTTGCGTACCTTATATTCAGAATCACCAAACGGTATTTGCTGAAGGGCATACAGATTTACGCACCAACCTCTGCACATCCCGGTGAGGAGGTGGAAGAAATGTATGAGAATATATCTAGAGCCATGCATTCCTCCAAAACCCACTGTACGGTGTAAATAATAAAAAATAAAAAAAAACTAGGCACAAGAGAGAACGGTGAGCTGAAGGTAGGAAAATTTGGGATAGGGCAACGGTACCCAAGGGGCCAGCAGCTGGCCGACTTCATGGAGAAAAAGGAACTCTATTTGATGAACTCCTTGTTCCAGAAGCGGCTCCATAGGAAGCGGACCTGGTCGAGCCCCGTCGGTTCGACAAAACGTGAGATTGACTTCATTATGACGACCAGACGTCAACTGTTAAGTGATGTCTCAGTGATCGCGTGGGTGAAAACCGGCAATGATCACCGAATGGTTAGAGGCACACTGAACCTAAACGTTAAGTTGGAGAAGTAACGTCTAATGAAGTCAACGCTCCGTCCCCTTCGTGCTCTAATCCAAAGTCCCGAAATCTTTCAGCTCGAGCTACAAAACAGTTTTCAGTACCTAGAATTCAAATTCCCATCTTAGTGTTCAGTGGTGACAACGCATCTGTACTTTGATTGTTTGTCAAGGGTAGATTGCTAGTCCATGGGTCTTAGCATCCACTTTCCATCAGGTAGACTGCACTCGTTTATCACCCTTACTACTATAAAAAAGTGAATTTGTTGCTTTGTTGGTTGATGACAGACATACCTAATTCTATTAAATGCGATGATAATTAAGGAAAAAGGTAATTTATAATAGGGGAGTACCTTTAAATTTCGTACTTTTTTAATAGAATAAGGGTGACAAACGAGCACACAGTTTATGTGATGGTCTACGTCTATCGGCGATTAAGAATCAAAATGCAGATGCGTTGTCACTCCTGAGGACTAAGATAGAATGTCCCGTTTCCAGTAAAAAGGGTGTCCAGTTCTCTATACTCACCATACGAAACAAAGCAACATTAAACTGCTATTATATGCAAGTGTTCTGTTAGAGTTTGGTCCCCGGTTGAGCCAATCCATTCATGCTACAACCATTATATAACAATAGCGTAGCTCCACCATGTGTAAAACGTATAGTGTGTGATATGTACTAAGAACTCAATTACTAGCAATAAGGCATTCTATTATCGTATAATGTTTCTTTGCATCGTCACGATCGCATTTATTTGTAAAAGCTAAATAATTATGCAAATTTATTATTACGAGTAAACTAAATTCAATACCCATATTAGCTACAATGGCTGACACTTCTTAGGGTTGTTCCATAACTTAAATAATAATATAAGACTTCAAAAAAAACCTAAACAACACACATTGAACATGAGCTGTTGATGAATTATCTTATTTTACCCTGGTGACTCCAATCACGATATTACGATAAAGTTATTAAATTATTGTAATGCAAATTTTCAAGTCAATAGTTCGACTACAAGTTGATGAAAATTACATTAAAACGTTCCATTACATAGATAGATACATAAATAAACAGATAGTTACAAGCGAGGTTAAATAAAGCGTGTTAAAAACAAACATAAACCTCTGTTTTTCTTTTTTTATAGCTATTTAACGTCAATTTTTTATGTAAGTAAGTGAGAACATATAGTTATTCTATTTCACGATGAAGTTTTGACTTTAGTTTTTGTTAGCCGTGCACATACACATACATATACTGCTAACATCTTCTTTTTTTATCTTCATTAGCCCTCAAACGTCCACAGATGGGTAAAGGGCTCCCCCGTGTTGCCTCAATAGACACGCTTGGAAGGTAGAATTTCGATGGCAATACTCTGTGCCTGTATGTAAACAAGAGTGTTATCCGGCCTATTGTCAATCTTTCTAGCATTTAATATAAAATAGCAACCTAATACAGAAGTATTTTGCATAGTGAATATAGAAATCTACTATGCGTTGTTTCCAGTTAAAATGGCCTCCCATCTTAGTCTTCAGCGTATGAACGCATCTGTATTTTGATTCTTAATCTAGGATAGAGGTAGATGACTTAGGGCTATAACACCTCTTCATCTTACCAGGTGCACTATGTGCTTGTTTGTCACGCATATTCATTATAAAAATTTAGATAAGGCGAATTACTGGTGCTTACAATGCTATAACACTGTGACAAAAATCAAAGCAACTTAAGCACAAAAGCAAAATTAAATTAAATGATGATATTCTCATGTGTAGAAAAATAATTCCACCTTAAAGGAATATAAAGAATGATAATAAGAAGATATAAGTAAAATATTGGTAAATCCAATTGCGCATGCCTTAAGTGCATTAAAAATTTACATATAACATGATTATTACTATTAACCTTATTACTATACTTTCAATTTTCCGATAATTTTATGTCAAGCTTCAATTAAAAAAAGGTTTGGAAAATCCAAAAGCGCACAGATCATAATTCTCATATGATAGTGAAAAATTAAAAAAAAAGAAAATTGTAGTATTATTCGTCCAAGAGTTCCAGTAGCATTCACCGAAATACACCTTCAGATCACTCATTCAAGTCCGGAGGTAAGATCTCATCATAAGTTACAAAACGAGGCCAAACTGCGCACACCTAGTTCTACTCGTCGAGGAGTTCCAGTAGCATTCACCGCAGTATACCTTCAGGTCACCCTCTCAAGACCGCAAGTAAGGTCCTATCATAACTAACAAAACGAAGCCAAACTCGGCACACCTACTTCTACTCTTCGAGGAGTCCCAGTAGCATTCACCGAAGTACACATTCAGGTCTCTCTTTCAAGTCCGAAGGTAAGGTCTCATCATAACTACCAAAACGAGGCCAAATTCTGAACACTTAGTGCTACTCTTCGGGGAGTTCCAGTAGCATTCATCGAAGTACACTTTCACGTCACTCTATTGTATTTGATTAAATGTAGACTGCGCCCTAGGCTAGCCTATCAATTCATCGGCGCCCTTCTAGGGGCCATATTATATCTATTATAAATTCAATATACTCATTTTGCAAACAAACTATATTATGCTTTATAATATAGTTTAATAATTGCAAAGTAATTAGGATACGAGTACCATTAACGGGGGGTATAAATGAAAACTGTGATGATAGAATAAAAGCGATTTAATAGTAATCAAATACGACGATTTTTTTCGTTTAAAATCTTTTTTAACCTTACGCCCCTAAGCACGTGCCTAGTTTGCCTTAAGGATAATCCGCCACTTTTCGGTGGCAAAGCCTCATCATAACTAACAAAACGAGCCAAAACTCACCACACCTATTACTATTACTACTCTTCGAGGAGTTCCAGTAGCATTCACCGAAGTACACCTTCAAGTCGGGGCAAGGTCTCACCATAACTAACATAACGAGCACATTCTCGGCACACCTAGTTCTACTCGTCGAGGAGTTCCAGTAACAGATATCAATGTACACCTTAGTCCAAAACGTATAAGTATATTTATATATAAATCCTGCCTACTTTTAGCGAAACAAAATATTGTAATAAAAATCTGTGTTTATAAATATAATATTAATATCTTATCTTGGTTAAGTATATCAAATTTGGTTTTGGGAATATTTTGTATTTCTAAAGCGATCGATATTTTTCAGCACGAACTGCTGTAAACAAACGACCACTCACGACGGCGGCTGAGCCCGGAGTAAACTAAAGAGTACTCTATTGCCGGGAGTGAGGCAGTGTATTTAGTAAAATAAATTAATACAAGTCTGCTTAAAACACCGAAACTTTCGCTAATTCTCAGCCGATAAAAATTAATTATAACTAATCAAAACAAAATTAAACTCCATTTACGTTCCATGGCTTCCCACATGACAGATGAAGAGTTTCATAAATACGAGTAGATTGAGTTGAACAATTGATATTTTCAAAAGTTATCGCGTTTACGCCTCCAAACGAAATTGATAAATCTACACCTTATGCCACTAAAACCGCATTTTTATGTAAAAATAGCAATTGATCGATTTAAAATTAATAATAAGTTTACCTTTCTGACAATGTGCGTTTTTATCATTTATATGTTCAATATGATTGTTAGATACGATTTCACGCGACAAAACGTTGAAATCTTGATTTTTAGGCGCTAGTAGAACATATCTAGGCACTGTGCGCTTAAAGCATGCAATAGCGAAAACAAGGTATATTCAGACGGACCTCGAAGACAAAGCAGTAAGCCGAAGTGTCCTATGTAAAACGTAAAAATATGCAAGGTAAAAAGTTAAATTAACTTTTTTTACAGTTTTTTTTTATAGGATAGGGTGTCAAAAGATCGCACAGTCCACCTGATGGTAAGTGGTTGCTGTGGCCCATAGACGTCTACATCTATCATCATTTGCGAATCAAAATGCAGATGCATTGAGACCCGTGAGGACTAAGGTGGAATGCTTCTTTTCCAGTAAAAAGGGTCTCCGGTTCTCTACACTCACCATACCAAACACAGTAGTGTTAAGCTGCTATTTTACACTGGTATTCTGTGAGAGCGTGGTCCTTCCACGGTCGAGCCGACCCATTCGTGCTACAACTATACTACTAATATAGCTGCAGCATGGCTCTACCACGTACAAAACAACAGGGACAACCTGTGACCAGTAGTGCATTTATTTGAAATACAGCTAAATGGCATCCCTACAAAACAGTATTGTCATTCCACATAATGCTTATTGTTTATCTATCCTATATAAACTCAGAAGCGGGAAAATTTCCATGTTACAAATTTGTCATATTACGATCTTGTAATATAAGATGGCCTCCTACAAATCACTTTACATACTGTTGGCTCTGGTAAGGTGTTTATTATAATATTTTCTTCTTCTCATTTGATAAAATAAAACATCCACGCTATCAGCTATGAAGGTCCTCACTAAATACACAGGCACAGGGCTGACAGATTCGAAACGATACTTTGCTTTAAATCTGATATTTGATGGCGACTTAAGAAAAACACAGTACGAGATTTTTGTGGTTGTAAGAGCCAATAAAGATCAAATGCAGGTGCGCTCGCGTGATCTCCAAAAGATGTTGAAATAACTATTTTGCATAAGCCAAAATGGACCAAGACCGACAATGGTAAACAGCGTTAATATGCTCAAATTCAATTACGGATCGCCTAAGCATAGTGATTATGAAAATTTTTCCTTTTAAATAAAACTAGTTTTTTTACAGATTTTATCGCGTATATTAAGTTATTTTATATTCCAGACGTTTCGAGTACTTTACAACACCCATAGTCACGGGGGGTGTATAAAACAAGTTAATATACGTGATAAAATCCGTAAAAAAAGAACTAGTTTCATTTAAAGAAAGATTTGCCATAATCACCACGCTACATAAGAAATTATTAAATTCTCCTTAGTTAAAGAGAGCGAATGTTCAAAAATACATTGTAAAAATGTATCTGTATTTGGAGTAACTAAATGTAACAATGAAACAATAGGTTTAACAGCACTAATTAATTATCCCTTTGTTACAGACAGCCGTAAATCTAATCAGTGCACAAGAAGATCCTGGTGCTAACACTAATTCAGATTCTCCAAGCAGACACGAAACTCCTCAAGAGGAAAGACGTCCTTCGTTCGGTTTTGGTTGTCCTGTTGACTTTGGATCTGGTTTCGGTTTCCCACTACCATTCTTTGACTTTAACGGTGTTCCTGACAGACGACACGAATATCCTAAACATCATAGAAATTTTAATAACGAGCCTGGAAGTCAAGATACACTCAGGAATATTGTAACGTGTAATCACATAATCACCGTAAGTGACAAAATGTAACTTATACTATAAAATATTATAACTGCACAATTTAAATAAAATGTAATAAATAATAAAATTAATCGGAAACGTCACAATAATGCACTTTAAAGTACAAATATGTTATCTACTTACAGCCTGGAAGAACTTGTATTAGTTGCAATGAGACCTTAATTTGCTCACGACTTAATCTTGGTATTGTCTCAACATGCAAAGGACGCAGGCCCCACTGCAATCAAGGTGTTTGTTCTACAACACCAAGCGAGGATTGCAACTCTGCCTTTATCGAATAAAAGATATATTAAAAGACAAAATCAGTAAGTATTAAAAATAATCTCACAAACGAAAATACAAAGCAGGCATAGTCCATGAAGTAAAATGCTTAAAGCCGTTGAGATGATTTACAACAATACCAGGCACGTCACTTCTCCGATACTTTGCCTTAGTTCTAGTAGACCTAACTATATCAATCATTTGGAATAGTTAGGTCTACTAATAATTGAGATTGCCCTATTGTGAACACATACGAGAATCCTTCCCAGTTCTTTACGCGGGTATAATAAGAAGCGACACAGAGCAATGTTCGCTATCGGTAAACCCATATGGTATTTATACCAGATGCAAAACAAGATCCGTGCCGGGAAACAAAGTCAAAAGTACGAGACCTCTGCTGCAGTGGACGCCAATCGGTCTGTCAAGCGTGACGATTACCAATTCTAACCTAGGATGCTCTGGACTCGAGTATTTCTTCGTAGCCTACTACTTCTATCCATATAATAATTAATGAACATTGTTTTTAAATACAATTAATCTCCTAATAAGTAAATAACCAAACAATTTTATCCTTATTTACTAATATATCATTGACAAACTTTTTTATATATTTTTCAGATATATCGTTGTGACTACTGTGCGTTTTTTAACGAATTAAATATAATTTTATTTATCAATAAATAGATATAAAAGTTAAAGTTTTTATTTAATAATTCCTAAAATTTACACGAGTACTACACGTGAAACGAAATAAATTTTTAGAGATTCTATCGCGTTTATTAACTTTTATTTCGAGTATTTTGCAAAACTCATTGATACTTTGCTTTTATTCATCGCTATTATAAAAAATCTAATACTCCATTCCTTCCTTTTTAATAGCGAGAAACCCTGTGAAACTCCATAATTAATGAAATCTGAGTAAATGTGCTTTCATTTTACAGAATTAAGTCAGAATTCCAGAGATATTCTTTCTTAGATCTATTCACAATTAAATAAAAAAGATTGGGAATTTAGAATTTGTTAGAGACGTGTTGCTTACTATAATATATTTTCAAGTTAGTAACTTCTTATTTGCACTAACAACCCGGGTTTATTCCCCGCCGACACCAATGAAATTTTAAATTACAATTTTTAGTTATGACCACGTGCGTGGCGAAAAATATCTTAAGAAATCCTACATGTCCTTGAAATTAAAAAAAAAATATTTTGAAGACATGTGAAGTCCGCCAACAAGCATTGGAGCAGCGCGTTTGACACTTCCTTGTCATAAAACCCTCTCAGAAATGAGGTCTGTGCCAAGGAGTGGGGCGTACATGTACTGTAACTTTATTATACTTTTATGCCCTCTAAACCAAATTCCGATCATGGTCGCCAGTCTGAACGAAAACTAGCCATCTTTTTTTATATGATAAGGGTGATAAACGATAATCCACCTGATGGTAAGTCGTTGCTGTGGCCCATAGACATCTACATCTATCCTCGATTACGAATCAAAGTGTAGATGCGTTGTCACCCGTGAGGACTAAGATGGAATATAATAGCCTCGTTTCCAGTAAAAAGGGTCTCCGGTTCTTTACACTCACAATACGAAACACAGCAGCGTAAAGCTGTCATTTCACGCTGGTATTCTGTGAGAACGTGGTCCATCCCCGGTCGAGACGACTTTCTACTTACTGTTATAGTTATAGTACTATTCGTGCTACAACTATAACAGTAATTTAGCTGCAGCATGGCTCTACCACGTATAAAACTGGACAAGGACAAGATTATAGTGTGCGAGAGTATCTCCAAGTACAGGTACACTCTCTATTCCCTCACTCTCATAGGCCCATGGGACACGATACGACTGGATGGAGGTCTGGCGGAGAAACAAGAGTTTATGTGCATTTCTAAGCACGGGGTGGTTGCACCGCAAACTTTCTGACTCCCGGCTGCTACTGAAAATGTATTGTCAGAAAAACCCAATAACTGAGTTTGACCCGACTCGGGCTTCGAACCTCTCTTCATCACGACCACTAGATCAAAGAGGAAGTTCTATAAAATAGATCAGTTTCGAATCACGCACGTAACAACTATTTGTATGATCAACAGTTAGGCGGATAGTTCCGGGTTTGGGTGTTTTCCATGTGCAATTAATGTATGCAAAACGACTTCACGACACAAAAGAAATGGTGACGTGAGTTCTTAAAGTAAAGATTTAACAAATAACTAGGACTGCTTCAGTTAAATTAAGTTATAACACACACATATATAACAATATGAAATGAAGGCTCAGTCGGCGTTTGGCTCCGACTCTGCGTTTCGCTAAGAGAAAAATAGGGGATCTAAGCTATTATAAAATTGTAAATTATTTTTATGGAGTTTTCAATCAATATATTGTTCTTAATTGTTCATCAAAACACATTAAAACAAAAACAAAATTTAAAAAAATGCGTGAGTATCGTGGAACACTTGGTTGGAATGAAGTTCCTTTCATAGTATATTGTTATTATTGATAAATGTATTATATTATTGATTAACAAATACATATAAATGAATTACTAGCGTCTATTAAAATGAAGCGTCATTTAAAATAATATTTCTGTCATGGCAAGACAAGAAAAAGTGCGAGGGAGATGAATATTATTCCATCTCGCTCGCACTATAGAAAAGGGGTCATGACGAAAAAATATTACACATTTTCTCGCCTAACCCCCATCCGTCAAATTCGTACCGTGCAATAAGGAACTTCGTTCCAATAAATAAAGAAGTTAAAATAGGTGGTCTTATTGCTCTGTAAGCGATATCTTGCAGACAAACTACTTACTCTAAGAATTCGAAGGGGCGAACCTCAGTTTTACAAAAATTTACCGGAGAGCAAGAAAACATATATTATTCCCCGATTACTAACTTTTTTTTATATTCTATGGCTATATACCCCTCATGATTAAAGTTACGAAGAGACGGCCCCCAGCACACGGCGACTATGCTATTCCTGGCTACGGTGGCGACCATGGTAACGACGGGCCAGGAGGTGCTAAGAATCTCCGCTGGATGTGCGGTTGCCACCTAAGACGACTCGACCTAGCAACATGTAACGCACGCTCCCTGAGAATTGACGAGAAGATCCTGAAGCTGGAAAAAGAGATGGCCAAGTTGCGCTGGAATATTACAGAGTTATCTGAGGTCCGAAAGAGGGGGAGGACATGGTAATCCTTCAATCCGGCAACTTGTTCTATCACCGGGAGGGTGACCTACTTTCCCAAAGAGTTATCGGATTTATCGTCCAACAACGTTGTAAAGATTGAGAGTGTGTCGACGAGGGTTGAGTACCTTATATTCAGAATTACCAAACGGTATTCGCTGAAGTTCATACAGGTTTACGCACCAAGAGGTGGAGGAAATGTATGAGGATATATCTGGAGCCATTCATTCTTCCAAAACCCACTATACGGTGTTAATGGGAGACTTCAACACAATACTAGGCACAAGAGATAACGGTGAGCTGAAAGTAGGGAAATTTGGAATAGGGCCGGCTTCATGGATAATAGGGACTATTTATGATGAACTCCTTCTTCCAGAAGTGGCCCCACAGGAAGTGGACCTGGTTGAACACCGAAAGTTCAACAAAAAATGAGATTGGCTTCATTGCGACGACCAGACGACAACTGTTCAGTAATGTCGCAGTGATCGCGAGGGACAAAACCGGCAGCGATCACCGTATGGTGAGAGGCACACTGAACCTAAACGTTAAGCTGGAGAGGTAACGTCTAATGAACTCAACGCTCCGTTCACCTTGTGCTCTAATCCAAAGTTCCGAAATCTTTCAGCTCGAACTACAAAACCGTTTACAGTGCCTAGAAGATTGCAATGCAGTGGACGATATGAATGATAAACTCGTGGAAACTGTCCACGTGGTCAAAGCTAAGTTTTGCGACATCCGCCGCAGATGAACACAAAAGCTCTCCGATCTGCTCGTATTGAAAAATTAATCGAGCGGAATCAGGGCTCCAAATTATTTGCTAGAGATCTGTCTGCCAGAAAGAGCCAACTGTCGAAGCTGAAGACCGAGTGGTTAATTGCGTCCTCCATGTTGGGACTACACCGAAGGCGTGAAGCAGAAGTGCGGTGGTCTTGTTCTTCAAGAAAAGCGACAACGCTCTTTTGAGGAACTACAGACCGATTTCACTTCTGAGCCGCGTCTACGTGTTATTTTCGGGAGTCATTACGAATCATTTCGCATGCAGACTCTACAACTTTCAGCCTCCGGAACAGGCCGGTTTCCGAAAAGGCTTTACATATATGACATACTTATCCTTCGGCAAATTGTACAGAAGTCCGAGGAGTACAATTTACCACTATGTCTGGCGTATATGAACTATGAGAAAGCATTTGATTCCGTCGAAATTTGGGCAGTGTTGCAGTCCGAGTCAGCTACGATGGCTATCCGAGTACAGAACCAGAGTACGAAACTAGCCCAACTGCAGAGAGGTGTAAGACAGGGTGACGTTATATCCCTGAAACTCTTCACCGCTGCATTGGAAGACGTTTTCAAGCTTCCGGACTGGAAAGGCTACGGTATCAACATCAATGGCGAGTACATCACTCACCTTCGATTTGCCGATGATATATTTCTTATGGCAGAATCGCTGGAGGACTTGAGCACTATGCTCAATGTCCTCAATAGTGGTTAGGTCTTAAGAGGAACATGGACAAAACTAAGATCATGTATAACGTCCATGTCACACCTATGCCGGTAGTTGTTGGGAGCACTAAGCTTGAAGTTGTTGACGAGTATGTTTACCTGGGACAAATAGTCCAACTAGATAAGTCCAATTTCGAACGAGAGATCAATCGACGGATTCAACTCGGCTGGGGAGCGTTCGGGAAATTACGGCACATCTTCTTGTCAGGTACACCTCTAAATTTGAAAACGAAACTGTTCTGGTGACTTCCATAGGTCATCACTGGCAACTAGTGCGTGTTGCCAGTGATGACCTATGGAAACCAGACGTGGTCCTTCACTGCTGGTCGGATGAGAAAGCTCAAGGTCGCTCGGTGAGCTATGGAGAGGGCTATGCTCGGAGTTTCTCTTCGTAATAAACTTAGAAATGAGGATATCTGCAGTAGAACTAGAGTGACTGACATAGGCCAATGGATTAGTAAGCTGTAGTGACAATGGACTGGCCATATAGCTCTAAAAATCGAAAACCGATGGGGAAAAAGTAGGCCGTCCCCCCACTAGATGGAGTGACGACGTAGTAATACATGCAGGAAGTCGATGGATGCAGGTGGCTCAGGACCGTGCCTTGTGTCAGTCCTTGAGGGAGGACTATGTTCAGTAGTAGACTTGTGAAGGGCTGTAATGATGATAAGAGAGCCGAAAATCTAATTGTAGACATTTTTATCAGGATTCTATTGTTGTCGACGAAAATACTATTAAAGTCTAGAAGATTCCTTTAGAGATACAATACTTAGTTTTCAATTTTTTTTACTTGATATCAGTCTCATGGTCAGTCTCTACTTTTTATAGTTACTTGGTCTAGTCAGTCGTGACCCACGCTTATAGATTGCATAATGCGGAGAACTCAAGCTATCTCATCAATACTTTCTCATATTTTGAATTGATAATAATCGCAGATATGAAGTTAAGTTAAAGCCTTTCGAATAGTGAAAAACCTCCGTACTGCAGTGCATTCATCCTTTTTCTTCAATA